AGGGGCTACAGCTAGCTTAGTTAACAACTCTTTGCATGTGTCATCTTGAGTGTAACTGGCAATAACCTCAGTGACCCAGGCAGGGTGAACAACAGTGCCCGTGAGTGCCTGAATTTGTAATTTGACTCTGGAAAGAGCATCTGCCACTTTGTTTGTTTTGCCCTTTTTGTATTCCACCTTGTAATTGTAGCCAAGAAGTCTAACCAGCAGTTTATGTTGTATTTCTTCTGTTAACTTCTGATCTTGAATGTACTTTAAACTTTCCTGACCAGTTCTGATTATCAGAGAGGAAGCTGCAAAGTAATGCTTCCACTTCTTCAGTGCTTCCATGATTGCAATAGCTTCCTTGTCATAAGTGGACAAGGTTTGAGCTCTAGGGCCAAGTGTTTTACTGAAGTAAGCTAATGGCTGTCCTTTATGCATTAGCACTGCTCCAATTCCATAATTGCAAGCGTCAGTTTCCAGTATAAATGGCTGAGAGAAATCAGGAAGCGCAAGGACAGGGGTTTCAGTCATCCTGTGCTTTAGTATGTTAAAAGCATTCTGCTGTTCTTCTCCCCAAATGAAGCCCTCTTTTTTCAAAGCTTGAAATAAGGGTTTACAGATGTAGCCATAGTTTTTGACAAATCTTCTGTAGTAACCTGTGAGGCCAAGGAAACTCCTGAGTTCGGTGACAGAAGTAGGAGTGGGCCAGTTAACCACAGAGGAGATCTTAGCAGGATCTGTAGCTACACCATCTTTGCTAATAATGTGGCCCAAGTATTCCACTTGTGGCTGTCCAAAAATACACTTCTTCTCATTTGCTACCAGCTTGTGTTTTTTCAGTGTTTCAAACACTATCTTCAAATGCTCACAATGTTCCTCCTCCGTTTTACTAAAAATGAGGATGTCATCGAAGAAAACCAGAACAAAAACTCTTAGATAAGGAGCTAGAATTGTGTTCATCAAGAGTTGAAAAGTTGCAGGTGCATTGGTCAATCCAAAGGGCATCACTAGATATTCATAATGGCCCATGTGAGTAGCAAATGCAGTTTTGTGGATATCTTCTTCTGACATTCTGATCTGGTGATACCCACTGGTGAGATCTATCTTGGAGAAGATTGTAGCACCAGAAATTTCATCAATGAGGTCCTCAATTATTGGCAAGGGGTACTTATTTTTAACAGTTTGGGAGTTCACTTTCTGAAATCATTGCATAGTCTCCAGCTTGCATCTTTCTTCTTTACTAGCAGTGCAGGGGAGGAGTAGGGGCTGGTACTGTCTCTGATAATGTTGTCATCAACCATTCTTTTGATGAGCCCTTCCATAATATCTTTCTGGTGATGTGGTAACCTATAAGGTCTGATATTGACAATTTTTGCATCAGGTTCCAAGGGAATTTTGTGATCACAGTCTCTTTTGGGGGGCAGTCCCACACGTGCACTGAAAACATCTTTATGTTCAGTGATGACTTGCTGCACCTTAGGGGGTGGAGCTGTAGTTGCTACCTCTTCTTTTTCCACCACTAGTCTGATCAATAAGAATGCTCCTCCTACAGCATCTTCCATCAGGTTATGTACAGAGGAGGTATCTTGAATTTCCAGATCAAAAGATATAGTTTCATCCACTATGTGAGCTCTAGTTCCATCATGCAGTTTAATTTCCATGAACATTTCTTCATAATCCATCCAGATAGGACTGACTTGGCAAAGCCAGTCAGCTCCTAAAATCATGTCATAACCCAACAACTTCAGCACTCTACAGTCAGACTTGAGTTCATGACCTTGAATAGTATAAGAACAGTCTTTGACTATTTGGTCAGTAGACAAGTATCCCCCATTAGCTACTGTCACCTTGAGTTTCTTAGTTGGTAACAGTGTACATTGTGCTTTTTCGGCAATCTTGGGAGATATAAAAGTGGCTGTACTACCACTATCAATAAGAGCAGGGGCAGTGCAGTTATTGATGTTGACTTTGACAGTAAATGTGTACTTTTTCAGGCTCAATCCCATCAGGGCATGCATAGAAATTTGTAAGTTCTGGTCAGGCAGTTCAGCAGCAATCTCTTCCAGTTCTTCTTCAAAATCAGTGAAATATATTATTTCAGCATCTTCAGGAACTTGGCCTTGTAGAGCTTGAACTTGGGCCTGTTGGGACATTTTGCATACTTTCCTATGTCCAGGGAACCACTTTTCATTGCATTTATAGCAGACTCCCTTTAATCTAGCTTGTTCAATGACAGCAGATGGGGTAATATCCTGAGGTCTGTTAGAAATGAACTGCACTTGTCTCCTGACAGGAAGGGGTTGGTTTGGTGCTGCTTGTCTTCGGGGAGGTTGAGTTTGCTCCAATCTTCTAGCTAACCAAATAGCCTTTTGTAATGTTTGAGGTTCATGGCATTGGATGAGATGTTGTATGCTATCATGCAAACCAGAAATGAAACTGTTCATGTAGTAAGAGTCAGGTAGGGAAGGATTATCTCTTCTCATCAAGTTCATCAGTTGCTCAAACTGGAGTACATATTCCTTAACAGATCCTGTCTGTGTGAGAGCATGAAAACTCCTGACATTATCACAAACAGAAGATTCAGAGAACCTGTCCCCTAGGTGTGTACAGAACCTGTACCAGGGCGTAGTTGCTGCAATATAACCAGTTCCTCTCCACCATTCAATGGAGGGTCCTTTCAAGTAAGTGACTGCTATCTCAGTTTTGGTTTCAGGTGGGGTTCTAGCAGCATCAAAGTAAAGGTCCATGGTTTGAATCCAGGAGTCTGTGTTATCTCCTTCAAATTCAGGCATGTTCATTTTAGCAGGCTTGACTAGAGTTGGGTTTCTTCTGTCAGTTAACAGTGGATCTCTACCAGGTCTTCTCTGGCCTTCCACCTGAACTTCCACTTGCTCAAGTTGCTGTTGTTGGTCAGGAAGGGTCACTTGTGGTTGCCCTTGTTTTTCCACAGGAGGTTGAGCCGGCTGCTTAATCTGTCCAAAATGGGGATGTCTATAAGGCTGTTTAACAGTGCCATCCAGGTGAAGTTCCTTGCCTATTTCGACATCATGTAGCACTCCAGAACCAGCTGTAGGAGGGGTATTGAATGCCTCTGGTGCATTCCTTACTTGTGCTTGAGGTGTAACTTGGTGGACACTGCCCTGTGCTCCCAAAGGAGTTGTTGGACCTGGATCTCGTGGGTGTAAAGCAGTGATCAAGTGAGTCAGAGAAGACTGCATTTCTAGCAAGGTTTTCTGAACATCATTGAAGTTCTTATTGACTGTGACTTGAAACTCTTGGAAATCTTGCCGATCTTGTTCTCTATTCTGCTGCAGCAGCTTGACGTCCAACTTGAGGGACTGCATCTCCAAGTCTGTCGTGGTCGATGATTCTGGTGGTGCTCCCATCGGATCCGTCCGGTTTTACTCAAAGCAGAGCACTTTGAGACCCGACAGATCAGAAAACGAACAACGGGGCCAAGCGAGGAATTTTACCACAGCAGAAGCTGCAACCCGAGCTTGACGTCGTCGTTCCCGCCACCGATGGTGTTCAAGAGGGAAGGGTGGGTGGGATTTTAGACCGAAGAAGTGTTCTTCAGCAACCACTACCCCGCAGCCTCTAACACCCGAGCTGTCTACCGCCACCTGCGCCACCTGAACTTCTCCGCCGCCGCCGATCTGGGTTGACAAAGGAAGGAGGATGGCCCCAACCCTTTACCAGATCTCTCACTCCGCCAAGAACCGTCGGCTCTGAATACCAAATTGTAGGGCCCGAGCTATGGGGGGACTCTAGCTACTCGCAATTTCAGAAAACATCAAGAACAGGGGGTGAAATTGGGTGGTATTAACTTAGGGTTTCTTACAGCAAGAGGAACAGATTTGCCAGCCGAAACACGGCGGCTAGGGGGAAACCCTAATACAATTACTCGATGCCTCTCCCAGCCTCTCGATCCTGGCTTTATAGCCATTACATGAGTAAAAGTAAACAGAGGAAATAACAGAGTAAGTGGAGTTGCCGGAAAGGTAACAGTGACAGCTGAAGTAGCGGCCACCGTCCGATCAACAATCCACGCTCCAGATCATCCCGCCAGTGCGCGAAGCGGTACGAGGGTTGGGGTGCACTGGATGGCGATCGGTTGGTCCAGTTTGAATCATCCTCACGAAGCGTTACGCCGAGTTAACTGAAGAAGCTGCCGCTGTTGTTATCTTCAGGCAGGGTCCTGACATCGCCGGTCGCGCCCTGCAGCCGCCATGAACTTCTCCCTGCACTCCCTTTTCTCCCACCAAAACGTTCAGGGCTAATAGACAAAATGTCCCTTCTTTCTCTCCAAAACATGAACTGCTCAGAAAAATCTGGAAAAACAATACTCCACAAAGGCCTCATCAATCTCCTGTGTAAATCCATGGCGAAAATTGAGTATGGGCTCAAAGTTAACAGTGCAAAAAAGTCATTATATAAGGTCGAAATTTCCCTGAAAACTACTGGGAACATGTAATATTTGCAAGATTCTTTTAATCTAAAATTTGAACCAAAATTTGGATCTGCTTACCAAAAGATTCAATATCTCCTAATCCTATAAACCAAATAATCAAAAATCCTACATCTTTAGTGGATCTTTCTAGCAAAATAGCCATTGTTTTTGAACTACTAACATGTTTGACCATATACAGTGTTGGGTTCGGGAACAACAGGGAGACATTTGAATTACTTGCAAAATAACTATGTAAAAGTCTTTCTCTTCATTTCTACAAACAAGAACAGAAATCAATTATTGGATGATTACAACCACTACTAACTAGCTACTATAACGAGTTGCCACAGAATCAGTTCTTAAATCTTAACAACCTTCAGAAGTTGAGAGCGATGGCAGCAGCCGGACGACCAGAGCACGGCTAATAGACAAAATGCACCGGCCCAAATGTCCCTCTGCCCTCTGCAATTCAGCAAAACAACGATTGACGAATTCAAGCAAATCAGTTGGCTGCCAAAAAACATGTGTGCACACAAAAGAAAATCAATAAAAATGAAAACGACGATCACAACCGAATCTCCCCTTCCTCTAAATCTTCTTGGTAGCTTTGATGATGCTGATGCTGATGCTGCTTCAGGTCGTCGTCATCGTCGTCAAGCTTGAGGAAGAGTCCCATCCGTCGCAACAAGTTGTTGGGCCTGGCCGTGTTGTACTGATCATTGCCGAGGGCCTTCACGTCCTCGTCTAGGATCTCGTTGTCGTTGAACATTACCGTCCTCTCCGTCTCGAGCAGTTGCTGACGGGCCTTCTCCCTCGCCCGGGACGTCTCCTCCTTTCGTCGCCTTTCCAAAATCTCGTTGGCACGGGCGATCAGGTCGCGTGTTGGAGGCGTTGTGTTGGCGGCGCGCTCTGCCGGAGCTGGACGACTGCGGACGCTCTGGTGAGATGAACCAGAATCCGAACCGCTGCTGCCGCTGATAGTTGCATCTTGGCCAAGATTCTTCACCGGTGAGGCGTCGCCGCAGATGTCCACGTACTCGTTGTCCTCTTCGACGAGCTGCACTGGTGCCGGCCTGATCGGCAAAGGGGAGACGCCGCCGACGATGTCAACGTCTTCCTCCTCCTCCTCGGCCATCATGTTCTTGTGCTGATTCTTTCTCTCTCGAAGGAACTTGTCCAGCTGCTTCTGCATCTCCACAAGGGCCTCGTCTTGGACGTCGCGCATCTCGATCTCGATGTAATCGTCGCAGATGCCGTGGCGGCTGTGCTTCTTCAGCAGCTCCAAAATATGAGCAGGAAGTACATGGGCTTCAGATAGCTTGGCTAGCTTCGCGAGGTCCCCGTAGAGGTTGTTCCTCGCCTTGGACGTCATCTTCTTGACGGGAACAGGAGGGGACGCCTTCCTCTTCTTGGCTGGTGGCTCCTCGGCTGGACGGACGCGCACGCGGGGAGCCGACGGGGACGAGGCGGGAAGCACGGCGGCCGCCTCAGCGAGGAGGCGACGGACCGCGACGAGCTCACTCTGGAACCGCTGGCGAAGGATCTCCAGCGGGCGCTTCCGGCCGGACATGATGCTGAAGGGCTCCCGGCGGGCAATCTCCATGGGAACAGCGGACGGCGGTCGCTGGGGTAAGGGCCGGAAGAGGGGAGAGGATGCGGTGGAGGAGAGGAGACGATGGGGAAGATTGGAAGTGCGCTGGAGAAGACAAACACATGGCAAGGCCTTTTAACTTGTGAAGTGATCCGTGATGAGATCGAAGCCGTGTGCTGCTGTGATTGATCCGTGAAGAAATCGGAATGCACTCCGACTCAGTTCAAGCTTCGGATTTGGTTGCGTGCATCTCAAGCTTAGCTTTGATTCACCACGGCCATGTCTTCATTTTCCCCAAGTTCGTCCTGCTCCCTGTCTCTCTCTGACATCTTCCAAGATGCGGAACCATCACAACTCCTGGGTTCATGCTTGCTGCAGCATCAACATCATTCTCACATCATTGTTCTCTCTTGCTAGCAAATGCAGCAGCTCCAATTTCGTTTTGAAATTTTCTGGCCTAGGTGTTCAGCGTGCAGCAGGACCGTCCGTTTGCGCAAGAGTTCAGAAAACTTTCTGACGGGGAATTCAGACTGAGGAAGAACTAAAGGGAGCACCTGGAACTCAGCTAGCTGAGATTTATCTATGGTCTCATTCACATGATATCATCATATATGTTGGCTGGATTTTTTCCCTCTCCCCACGATTTGCACAAGTCGTGCCATCTTTTGGGGCTTTGCTTATGTCTCCTGTCACTCATGCTAAAGCAAACATACGAATCCATAAGAGAAGCACATACGTCTTAGTGGGCTCGCCTGGACAACATATTTTTAGTTGCCATAACACAGTTGTGGAGAGTGTTTCCTTTGTTTTTTTTTAGTTTTGACCCAGTTCAGCAGTAATCACCAGCATGATACCTCTGGCGCACAAGATCTATCCTAGTCTTGTCCCATGCATTATTTATTTATCTGTTTATTAAAAAAACCATCTTTTTTAATTGATGTAGCCTGTAGTCACAACCTAGCTATGAAAACTTGCAGTTGCGACCGTTGCACTTGCGCCCCTCTTTTAGTACATGCAGTTGCGACGCACTAGCAAATTTGCAGTTGTGATCCAACTTTGAAAATTGGTAATTGCGACCCGACTACAAAACTTGTACTTGCACCTCTCTTTTAATACCTGTTGTTGCGGCCCCACTTGAATACTCGTAGTTGCAACCCGACTTTGGGAACCTGCAGTTGCGACCCGACTTTGGAAACTTGCAGTTGCGACCCGACTTTGAAAACTTGCAGTTGCGACCCGACTTTGGAAACTTGCAGTTGCGACCCGACTTTG